AAGGAACTCAAACAACTTTACAAGAAAAAAACAAGCAACCCACTTAAAAAATGGGCAAAAGAGCTAAGGAGGCATTTCTCTAAGGAAGATATACAGATGGCCAAGAAACATATGAAAATATGCTCAGGGCTGAACCTGCGGCGCATTCGGGAGAGTGCGGCACTGGGAGTGCAGCGTCGCTCCCGCCGCGGGTTCGGATCCTATATAGGACTGGCCGGTGCGCTCACAGGCTGAGCGCGGTGTGGGCGACACCATACCAAGGGTTGCGATCCCCTTACCGGTCACGAAAAAGACCAAAAAAAAAAAAAAATGCTCAACATCACTCAGCATCCGGGAAATGCAAATCAAAACTACACTGAGATCCCATCTCACCCCAGTTAGGATGGCTAAAATCTGAACAATAAATGCTGGCAAGGTTGCGGAGAAAAAGGAACTCTCCTACATTGTTGGGGGACTGCAAAATGGTGCAGCCTCTATGGAAAATGGTATGGAGGTTCCTCAAACAATCGCAGATAGATCTACCATATGACCCAGCTATCCCACTGCTGGGAATATACCCAGAGGAATGGAAATCATCAAGTCGAAGATATACGTGTTCCCCAATGTTCACTTGCAGCACTCTATACAATAGCCAAGAGTTGGAACCAGCCCAAATGTCCATCATCGGATGAGTGGATACGGAAACTGTGGTACATATACACAATGGAATACTCGTCAGCTATAAAAACGAATGAAATACTACCATTTGCAACAACAGGGATGGACCTTGAGAGAATTATATTAAGTGAAACGAGTCAGGCACAGAAAGAGAAATACCACATGTTCTCACTTATTGGTGGGAGCTAAAAATTAATAAATAAATTCACACACACACACACACACACACACACACACACACACAAACCGGGGGGCGGGGGGAAGAAGATATAACAACTACAATTCCTTGAAGTTGATATGACAAGCAAACAGAAAGGACATTGTTGGGTGGGAGGGAGGAGAGGGAGGAGGGAGGGAGGTTTTGGTAACGGGCCACAATAATCAACCACAATGTATATCGACAAAATAAAATTAATAAAAAAAAAAAAAGAAAGAAAAGTTTAGTTCCCTGCCTAAGACCACCCCACCAGTGAGTGATAGAGCTGACCACTGAACCCAGGCCTGCTTGTTTTCCAGTCCTTGAGTCAGCTGCTTTCTCATCTTCCTAGCTTGGTTGTGATGTACCAGGGGCAAGGACCATTTCTTATTCCTCATTGTATACCCAAAGTGCCCTATCCTCTTATTCTATATGGCAAACGTCTCCTCATCCTTCAAGGCCCAGTTCAAATGTCATCTCCTGAGATAAATCTTCACAGTAGATGCCCAATAGATATTTGCCAAGCTAAAGGCTACATTCCCTTGCAGCTAGGTGTGGCTGTGTAACAAGATTCTGGTTTACAGAGTGTGAGAAAAAGTAATGTGTGCATTTTCAGGTCACACCTTTAAAAGGAAGGGAGTGTGTCCTCCTCTTCCTTTTAACCCTCTTTCACTGGCTGGAATGCAGATGTTATAGCCTGAGCTACAGCAGCCATCTTGGACCCTGAAATGGAAGCCACATGGTAGGGACAGCAAAGCAACAATATAGAAGGAGCCTGGGTCCCCAATACTGTGGCACTGCCACATCAGCTCTGGACTACCTACATCCAAACTGTTAAGCTAATGAGAATAAAAATCTTTTTTTTTTTTTTTTTTTCAAAAAGATGACTGGCAAGGGGATCTTAATCCTTGACTTGGTGTTGTCAGCACTATGCTCTCCCAAGTGAGCCATGGGCTGGCCTGTTGAATAAACATCTTCTTGAAACCACTGTATTTTGGAGTCTCATTATAGCAGCTTCGCCTGTACCTTAACTGGTACACTAAGCAAATGAATGGAATGAATAAAGGGATAAAGGCCTGAGTAAAAGAATAAGTGGTTGAACAGAGAGACCTTTTCAGAATATATTGCTAGTTATGCCCTGCCCCTGCTTAAAACCCTTAGGGACTCCCCAAAAATCCTTACTGTGCCTACAAAGTCCTCTATCACTGGCTCCTCCTTCCTCACCAAAGATGCCACTTTGCCCCAAGTACTTTTGTATTCTAGCCACTCTGACCTTCTTCCAGTCCCCTGAACACGCCAGATTCTCTCTCTGCTCAGCCCATTTGCATGAGCTGTTCCTTCTGCTTGGATTGCTCTTTGTCTGCCTAAACATCACTTCCTTGGGAAGGTCCTCCAGGGTGGGGTTACCATCATATACTATCTTGGCATTCACCATACAGTTACTGTACAATGTCCATGAGCTCCAGGAATGTGGAACTGGGTCTGCCTTATTAGCCAATAGATATATCTCCTGGACCCAATGCACAACTGCTCAATGAATGACTGGACACCATGGCACTCAGACACTTGGGGGGCACTTGTCCTAGACCAGGCATAGAACAATGACTCATGCCTCCAGCTCCTGCCACATGATGGCACAGAATGGTAAACCTGGGGCTAAACTAGAATCCAGAGAGCTCAACAGAAACTCACTCTGCGGCCTCATCTTCTCCTTTCTGGGCCTTCACTTCCCCATCTGTCAAATGGGAGCTTGGCAGTGGTTTTTGAAGATTTTTTTTCAGCTACCAAACCCTTTCCTCAAATGAAATAATGAGAACCCAGTATAATTAGGAGAAGTGAAAATGGGTGTCTTGTTGGAGTCATGAGTGGGAGCTGCAGGCCCCTCTCACTGCCAACAGCAGCTCCCAAGGTACTCCCAAGGAGCCTTTCTCTACCAGACACCACTTGAAAGTCCCTCAGCTAGATGACTGCCTAGGGCCCTCTCAGGAAGTGCTGATTTTGCCCTTTGAAAGACTTAGCAATGGTTCCCCAATTTACACCTTTTACCACAGAAACCACCTTTACTTATCACATCCACAGGAAAATGTTTTATTTCCATGGTAGTTGCTTTCTGGGTTGTCTACCTGGCCTATGACTGAGCATGCTCCCTCCTCTGGGACCTGGCTCTGGCACCATCCGGAGATTGAGCCCAAGCCCCTGGCAGCCGGGTTTATACATTGGACCAGCCCCCCTTACCTGACTGGCCTATAGGAGGACACCTGACATAACTTAGACCAATCAGGTTCTCTCCCTGAGAACTGAGCCTCTCAGTGCGGGTCCAACTATAACATGAAAATGGAGGTGTCCATATATCCTCACTAAGAGGACGGAAGAAAAGAAAAAGGGTGCCTACAGAGAGAAGAAGAGGAATAAAGCAGATTCAGGGAAAGCAGGCAGAGTTCTGTCAACATTCGAGGTTCTAGTCCTGCACCCCTGAGGCCCAGCAACACACCTGCCTTCAGTTTCCCCCTTTTTCCATATACTCGTGAGCTCCAGTAGGTTCTGCTACTTACAGCCCTGGGATATGAAATCCTGCCTCGGTAAAGGGATGTCCCTGGTCGGGCAGCGAGGCCAGCTGAATGAAGGGCTCACCTCCTGCAGGCGGGCGGTCCGTCTCCGCAGGCACACGCAGGCAGCCGCGGCCAAGGCCTCCGCGCAATCCTGCGGCAGCCTCCCTGCTCTCTTCTCCAGGTATTTCTGGCAGATCTCCTTGGCTATCACCTTCTCCATGCCCGTCTTCCTGGAGCAGAGCGAGGCGGTGCTGCTTGGAATTTCAGTAAGGAGCAGATCCTTCTGCGAGAGGAAGAGCAGAGACGCCACAGTGTGAGCTGCAGGCCTGCGGGGCCACTGTTGCGCGCCCCACCCACCTCCCGGGCTGCCCCAGAGCCACGAACACTCCTCAGGCACCCCAGGATATCTTAAAAATAAAAGCAAGGGGCCCAGAAAAGAGCTGGAGAATCGCTGAATTCCCTACGCACAGGACATTCTGAGTACACTCATACCCCAAGCGCAGGTGCTTAAGCTTTCTAGGCCTAGGAAGCTTCATCGGGGAGAAGGAGATAACAACAATACCCTCTCCTACACGAACATTAAATGAGATGATGCACCTAAAGCGCCAAGTGTGACACCTGACACTGAACAGACATTCAAGAGTCTATTAATGATAACAACTAATAACAATAGTAGCTATCATTTATATAGTGCTTGCTACATGCTGAACACTTCACTTACATTAATAATTTAATCTTATTAACAATAACATGGGTTGGCCACTTGGCTTAGTTGGTAGAGCCCAGCCCTGTAACACCGGGGCAAGGGTTCAGATCCCCCCACCAGCCAGTGGCCAAAAAAAAAAAAAAAAAAAACCAACCAATTACAAAATTATGATATAAAATAAACATTTTCAAAGGTAGGATTCTGAGGGCCGGCCCGGTGGCGCACTGCTACAGTGCGCCGCTTGGGAAGCTCGGCGGCGCTCCCGCCGAGGGTTCGGGTCCCAC